AAGCTTATCGAGCTTAGGCTTAGCAGGCTTAGCCTTAGTAGGCTTAGGCTTATCAAGGTTATCCTTAGTAAACTTAGGCTTAGTAAGCTTAACCTTAGTAGGCTTAGGCTTATCAGAATTAGTCATAGTAAACTTAGGCTTAGTAGGCGTACGCTTAGTAAACTAGGGTTAAGTAAGCTTAGGCTAAGGTAGGTTTAAACATAACAAACTTAACTTTAATAGGCTTACCCTTGACATCAAACATGCAAAACTTTCTACATTTACAAAGAGCTCAAAAATGAACATAATTACATATAAATTTATAATTAGCCATCTTATGTAAATGTAACAGATTAAGATGTTCTCATTAATTTATAAATAGCAAAGATTATCTTAAACGTTAATAAATTGTAAAAAAAATAAAAAAAATTGTATTTTAAGATCTTAAAGGCATGAAAAACAAGCAAAAAAATCAAACATAACTTTTCTCTACCCTATTTTATCCTACAATACCTTATTCTAATTTACCTTACAAAAGCTTGCACGTCTTTACCCTGCAAAATCTTACCTTACTCTACCCTACTCTAGTCTACGCAATTCTATCGTACTCAACCTTACCCTACTTTACCGTAAAATAATGTACCCTGCCCTACCCTACCTTATCCTAACCTATAATGTTAGGAAGCAGTAAACTAAGCTGTCAAAAAAAGTTTTGTCGCCAACTTCTCTGTATTTTAACGTTAGAAAACAACAAGACTTTTTTAAAGCTTATTATTTACTTTTATAGGATAGGGTAAGTTAGAATAGCTTAAGGTATGGTAAGGTAGAACAGAATCATCTTCTAGGTAACAAAAGATTTGTATTTTAATTTGAAATACATAACCTCTTAACATTATAGTAAAAGTACCACTTCAAAAAAAGTAAATAATCTAAAAGTCAAAAGTACAATTTAACGATTACAAAGTCCAACTACAAAGTGACAATTCATTATTTGCAAAAAGACTCTCAAACATAACATTTAAAATTTTTTTTGGATTTTTAAGTTTTAAAAATATTTTTTTTTCGAAAAAAATCAAAGATATTATAAAGACTAACACAATATTTTCGATAATTAATTAAATGAGCAGAAAAACCCCAAAAAAGCCAACAAAAAGAGACAAAAACATGACTGGGATGAGCTCCTTCTCTGCACGCTCTCTTCATTCTTTATGCTCTCTCTTTTTCAAGTCTTTCTATTTATGTTTTTCTTTCTTTCACTTCTGTTTATGGCTGATCTCTGGATTCAAAATACTATTTTTTACAGTTTTATGATTCCTACCAATACCGCTACTTCTATATGGCCACAATGCATATTGTAAATACCTTTTTTATAACGATAAGTTGTCATAAAAGTCTTGTCGTTTTTTGTCTTGAAAAATCACGTGTATTTACGACGATTCTTTTTGAAAGCTTGATGAAGCTGGAGTAAGGGCAGGGGTAGTTGCATAGGTAGAGGTAGGGGTAAAGGTAGAGGTAGGGGTAAAACTAGGGGTAGGGGTAGGAATAAGGTTAAGGGTAGGGGTAGAGGTAGGGGTAGGGGTAAAACTAAAGGTAGGGGTAGAGTAAGGATAGGGGTAAACACAAGGGTAAAAATTGAGGTAAGTATAAACGTAAGATTAAAACAACAATTTGTACGTATGTTATGATGCAGACATATACGTATGTACAAATACAGTTACAATTTGTCATATGTAACAAACAAACCCCTAAACAAGAGAAGAATAAAAGAACAAACATCATGTTATTCCGTAAAGGATCAAGATTTTCATTTGATAATATTAATTTACAAAAAGTCCGTGTTAAACGCATAAAAATGCGATTAAAATTACATTCATATAATAAATATATATATGAAACTTTATAAACCATTTTACAGCACGTGTACCTCATACAAACAATGTTCAATATACATAAAAGGCAATTGTCGTCAAAGTTTGTATATATATAAAGAGGAGCTGTTAAAAAGTTTTGTCGTGCAATTTTATTGTTTTACATGTAAAAAACGACAAGACTTTGTTTACAACTAAGTTTAAAATTAATGTCATTTTTTGTTCTGTAAAGAAAGTTCTTGCCATTTTTTTTGTAAAGAAAGCTTTAAAAAACCAAACACATAATATCAACCCACACCATACAGTAAACTACACTATAACAAAAAGCCATGTAACCGTAAAAATAACACAATAAACGACTAAAAATATACTGTCCTAGCCTATATCCAAATAAAAACATTGTAATTATAAACAAAATATCCTAGTAAAATTCAAATTACAGTGGAAATACACAGTAAAAAAGCAAACATAGTAAAACAATTTTATTGACATGCACATCACCAAAAATCATTAAAAAATCCATTTCTAATTGAAAATCATCCTCAATATGGCTGTGGTCCACCGTACAGTGGCTTCAGTATGAAAATGGTCCATCTAGGTCTTGTTATTTCAGACAGGTCCCATATTAGCCACCAAACGTAGTATCGGTCCAAAAGTTCTTGCATATGTCTCTGTCGTCTATGTCCGCTACACCTTTTTCATAAACCACTTCCATCCATCCATCTATCCATCGTCCATTTCACAAGCTACAGCCATCGTTACTTCAAACTTTGTCACAGTATACCGTGAGAGGGCACAGTGAGAAGATATTGTGATAAGACACAGTGAGACAGTGCTGTGATCAGGCACAGTGAGAAAGTACAAGTCCATCACTCTGACCTCTTCCACCAGCTACAGCCATCGTTAGTTCAAACTTTGTCATCGTACACCGTGATAGGCACAGGGAGACAGTACCATGATCAAGCACAGTAACAAGTTACAAGCCTTGTAATCTGTTCCTTCATATACAACCACCATTACTTCAGACTTCCTCATCGTAGACAAAGCCATGTTATGGCTACACAATCCAGAAGTGCACATAGTGACTTCAATAAGCCAATGGTCCATCTGGCAGACCACTCTACCGTACAAAGCTCTTGAGGATGTAGTGGGAGTTGGTTGACATTTTCGGGCAAACTCAACTTGGTTACTACCAAAACGACGCACAGAAAAAAAGCACAGCCTTCTTCATATGAAGCTTCAGCCCTCTCCACATGATACAGCCATCGTTACTTCGACTCGAATGCTACAGCCATCGTTACTTCAAACTTCATCAGACATCGTAATCACAACAAAATTCCTGTACTTTGATCCACAATTCTGATAGATCCATCTACAACAATATAACGTTGAAATTCATTTCCAACAAGCGAAACTTCCTTTTCCATCAAATGCTACAGCCATCGTCACTTCAACTCAAACGCTACAGTCATCGTTACTTCCAAGTGTGGTAGCTTAATACATGCCCACAGCGGACTTGCTGCTACAGAGTAATAATGAAGGTGAGTCGACCGGCCCAGATCGAAGGAATCGACCATAACAAACGACAGAAGCAGCTACAGTCTTGACATGATCATCCATCGTCTACTACATTAGCTACAGCCAGCGCTACTTCCAACTTTAGTATAACATCCAACATAATCATCTAGTCCTGTCATGGGCATCCATTTCATAAGCTACAGCCATCGTTACTTCAAACTTCATCGTACGAATCCAAATCCTGACCTCTTGATAGTAGTGGTGATCGTGGTGACCACTTCAATCCTTGCAGGTGGTAGTATATGTAGCGGTGATTTTGGTGACCTTTCTGATTCATACGAGTACCACAAAAAGCTACAGCCATCGTTACTTTCAACTTCATAGTAAATCATGATAAAGATGTGATCCTGATCTTGGCAAGAGCCACATTTGCTCGTTCATCGTGAACTAGACAAAATCCATTGGTTTCAACAATCATTCCAAGGTCTTGCAGATGTCGATTACGTCCCGCGCGAGGTCCGTCTGCCATTTCTATCCGACATTCAAGCCAAAACATTCACAAGCATCCATCTATGATAATATAACTTGCTCGCTCCACCGTTGAGGAACCAAGATTCTTTCAAGACTTCAGGCCATTGAATTTGTTGTAGTGGATGTGTTGGATAGCATCAAGGAAATATCATTAGAGAACTCATGATAGCCGTGACGACATCAGTAGAGAACTCATGGTAGTCATAATGGCATTCCTAGAGAACCCATAGTAGCCTTAATGACATCATTAGAGAACTCATAGTAGGCATGACATCAGTCCATGATACACATGATGACATCAACACAGAACTCATAGTAGCCATATTGACGATAGTAGTCCAGTTTTGATGCTCACAACAGTCGTCTACCTGACCTCTTGTTGGTAAAAGTAGAAGAGGTTGTAATAACGTTTTCTAGCCTTGCAGGTAGTAGTATGAAATTAGTGAACATTCTGGTTCATACAACCAAAACAAAGAGCTACGGCCATCGTTACTTCCAACTTCATCGTACACCATTATCAAAATATGATCCTGATCTCGGCAAGAGCCAGATCTTTCCATTGTAAAAAACCAAGCTCCCAAATTCCATCACAATATCCATAGTGAATATCAATGTAACTCTTTATGGTCCAGGTAACGGTAAACATAACTCTTGCTGATCGTGGAAGTTATGATGGTGAGCTCTCACAGTTGAGTTCAATGCTTCTATCACCTTGCAAATGTCGATAACATCCAGCCAAAGGTCATTACCATCCATCTATGACAATAACACATTATCTTCCATCTATGACAATACCATTATCTATAACAATATCGTATTGCTAGTTGTCCTTGGGTGTAGCAGTGACTTCTTAAAGGTCGTAGTCGTCGTGGCAGCGTACCATTCAGGGTTGAATGTTGTGGTGGTCGTTTTGGAGCAATCCACGACCATTTAAACTTAAGAGTATTCTCCATCAAATGCTACAGCCATCGTTACTCCAAACTTCATTAGATATCGTCATCAAAACAAAATTCCTGGTCGTTAGACCCCAATTTTGAATGCTCCATCTACAACAATATAACGTTGAACGTCATTCTTAACACGCGTAACCTCCTTTTCCATCAAATGCTACAGCCATCGTTACTTCAGCTCAAACGCTACAGTCATCGTTACTTCGACTCAAACGCTACAATCATAACTACCTCCAACTTTAGTAGCTTGATATGTGCCCACAGCGGAGTTGCTGCTACAGAGGTCATGAAGTGAGTCGTGTCGGCCAAGATCGTAGGAAACAACCATAACAAACGACAGAAGCAGCTACAGTCTTGACATGATCATCCATCGTCTACTACATTAGCTACAGCCAGCGTTACTTCCAACTTTAGTATAACATCCAACATAATCAGCTAGTCCTGTCATGGGCATCCATTTCATAAGCTACAGCCATCGTTACTTCAAACTTAATCGTACAAATCCATCGTTACTTCCAACTTTAGTATAATATTCATCACAATCAGCTACAGTCTTGACATGATCATCCGTCGTGCACATAAGCTGCAACCACCATTACTTCAACTCCAATGCTAAAGCCATCGTTACTTCCATCATCACAACTTCAAATTGAATCCCAATTCATAGCAAAAGTCTATCACAACATCCATCTAGAACAATATATGTTTCAAAGATTCGATTGTCCGCATCCATCGTCTACCTGGCCTCTTGCTAGTCGTAGTAGTCGTGTGCGTTTCAAACCTCACAAGCAGTAGGATAGTCAGTGATGGTTTTGATGACCATTCTAATTCATACGACCACCACAAAGAGCTACAGCCATCGTTACTTCAACTTCGTTGAAAATAACGAGCAAAATGTAATCCTCGGCAAGGGCCACATTTACCCATTTAAAAGTGATCACGACAAAATCCATTGCTTTGAACGTGGATTCCAAGCCTTGCAAATGTCGATAACATCCAGCCTGAGGTCCGTCTGCCAGTTCTGAATTGACAAACATCCATCTATGATAATATAAATTGCTCGCTCCACCGTTGAGAAACCAAGATTCCTTCAAGACTTCAGGCCATTGAATTTGTTGTAGTGGATGTGTTGGATAGCATCAAGGTAATATCATTAGAGAACTCATGATAGCTGTCATGACATCAGTATAGAAGTCATAGTACTCATAATGAGATCAATACAGAACTCATAGTAGCCATGTTGACGATAGTAGTCCAGTCGTGATGCCCACAATAGTCGTCTGTCTGCCCTCTTGTTGGTGGAAGTAGAAGAGGTTGTGATGACCTTTGTTAGCCTTGTAGATAGTAGTAGTGAATTTCGTGGCCATTCTGATTCCTACAATCACCAAAAAGAGCTACAGCCATCGTTACTTCAACTTCATCGTAAATCATGATCAAAATGTGATCCTGATCTCGGCAAGAGCCAAATCTTTCCATTGGCAAAGGCCAGAGCTCACAAAGTCCATCACAATATCCATAGTAGAGATGTAACTCTTTATAGTCCAGATAATAGTTAATGTAACTCTCTATAGTCCAGGAGTGAATGAAACTCTTGTTGGTCGTAGTCGTTGTGGTGGTAAGACTCTTCTAGTCGTGGTGGTTGTCGTAGTGAGCTCTCCAAGTTGTCCAATTGACCTCTACCACAACTTATGAAGCTCACTCTACTGCCTTCCAAGTTTCATTCTACCATGACATCTGATGGTCATAGTACTATTTGGCGTCTTTTCATACCAAAAATAAAACCGGCCATGCCTTCTTGAAGGTTGTAGTGGTGGTCCTCGAAAGTGACCAGCTTTTTTTATCAGCCTCCATTATAAAGTGTCATTTCCAGTTCCACCAAGTGCTACAGCCATCGTTACTTCAAACTTCTGTCTTGACAAGTAGACCCTTCGGATCTGAAAGAAATAAGAATTAATTTTAGATTTTGGACATTTTTTGGCAAGAACTTTCTTTACAAGGCAAAAAATTGCATGAACAATCTTTAACTAATAAAAAATCGCAAGAACGTTCTTTACAAAACGAAAAACCGCAAGAACTTTCTTTACAAAACAAAAAGTCGCAAGAACATTCTTTACAAGACAAAAAATCCATTTTTACAAACCCCCCCCTTAACAATAACTTACGTTAAAAACCATCACATTCATGACTTCGACCTTCAAGACCAACGAAAATCCATTAAGACCATGAAACCAATAATGTACCCATCAGCACTATGCCCAATTGACCACCATAACTACCAGACCAAAATAGTACCCGCCAGTGTCAAAAACGTTTTACCATGCCCTAAAACAAAATCAATCATTAACATGCCCTATAACAATACTTATTAAAATCACCATGCCCTATTCTAAGATTTATCAAAATTACCACGCCTCATAAAAATCATCAACAGTACCATGCCCTATACGAACATTCATAAAAATTATCACGCCCTACTAAAAAATCATCAAAACTATCATGCCCAAAACGAACCTCATATCATCAACATTCCAAATAGTACCCAGTAGTTGTATGCCACAGCGAGCAGTGCCAAACGTTCATATTCCAAAACAGCATCACATTGAAATTGGCAACAATTGCTCCAGGAGGTCGAGCGACCGAACATAGCTAGCCATAAGAGATGCAATTCCACGAAAACGTCCGTCCGCCAGCTGGCAAAGCGAGAAGAATGACCAAAAAAGCAAAAAATGATCGATTTTCAACAATATTCAAATTTGGACACGTGAACGTCAATTATTGGTTGTTTTTATTCAAATTTACGAAATTTTTGAGAAAAGTTCAAAATTTGAAAAAATTATTTCATTTTCAAAAATTAAAATTTTTTTTTAATTTAGGTTTATAAGTCATCTTTGTTGATAAGCAACATAAAAACTGTCATATTTTATCTACTATAAGCATTTAAAACAGTCTTGTCGCTTTTTAACGTAAAAACTTATGAATTTTGGCGACAAGACTTTATTTGATACCTTTATACAGGAAAATTGTCAATATTAAATTTCCCATATCATGTACTGTTGTAAGTTTTATCTAATTTTGTATTCTCCAACTTAATCTTACTATACTCAACTTATAAACTTGATCTTTTAGTTTGTACATTCAGCTGATCACAACGTTATCATTACAACAGCTAACAAACATTATAAGTTTATCATTACAATCGTTATTTACGTATAAAAAACATTGCTTTATCATTACACTGCTATCAACAGTACCAACACATGACTTTTTGCTTGACTAGCCACATCAGCCGACCTACAACAATATATTCCAAGATCAGCTGGTCTACGACAATATTGTTCCATTTTGTTTATCACAAATCTATTTATAGAAACTTCTATAGAAGCGATTGCAGACAGTTTGTGATTACCGGTAAGGGGTGATTGATCACTGCTTCTTGTTTTTCATATTTGATGGTTTCGTCGACTTTTAACGATAAGAGCGCGCTCCACTTAAGAAAAAGAACAAAGACCAGTTATTTGATGAAGAAAAGTTATTAATTCATTAAAAGAGGTTGATTGATATTGATTAGAGACGTAATTGGTACAATCGCGTGGTGTTGAGATCAAGATAGAGAAATTTACATTTTAGCTGAGATCAGATGTCGAGTGTAATATAAAACTAATCGTGACTCAAAGATACTACAAGATATACCTGCCAAACTTAATATCCACATAAATAGACATATAATCATGCTATTAATCTCAAAATCCACTTCTTTGTTACCTAATCTAGCAGAATAAACAAAAATACCCAAAAAGACCGTTTGATGTCAAGCGTAATATCTAAAATATAAAAACAAGTGAAAATTAACGTTCCAAAATGTAGTATACAAATAAATGTATCCATAATCTTACTACTAAGCTAAAAATGCACTACTTATTTAGCAAACTCCGTCTTAAAATTGAAGAAGACCAAAATAGGGCTCTTGATGTCAAGTGTAATGTGCAAAATCAGTCGAATATCAAAAGAAACTGCCCCAATTCCATAAAATCTCCTTCTCACGCAAAATTAAATGTTAAATCCTTCTAATACCGTTAATTTCACCAAGAAGTACATCCAAATAACATCAAAAACAACAAATTTCACTTCCAAGTCAAGTGTAATATTTCATATTCTCTGTTTTTTCCCTCAAAATACCTAAATACATAACAAAAAAAACCCAAAAACTTACATTGTAATTTGTAAAGAAAATTTGTTTCTTGTTCTGTTTATGCACATCTTCCACATTGGTTTAGACCATCTGCACCTTCTACAACGTTCGATCTTCTTGTTTCACACCGTGCAAATCCTGTAAAACAAAAGTTTGAGTGAAAAGATGGCAAAATATATTTAAAATTGATTAAAAATATTTTATTTTGATAATCAAACGTAGTTTTCTGGATAAACTTTATGAAATTCAAAATTTTTAATAAAATTCTTGGCCGATTTGATGCAGAGTGCCAAAAAGGCTTTTTCGTGGTGGGACCAATTTGGTGGTAAAATGTAAATTTTTTAGCTTAAAATAGGTATAAATTGAGGAAAAATAATAAGTTTAATCTATTTTTTGATATTTTTTTAAAAATTTATTATTTTTTTTATTTTTGTTAATGTGTTTTATGTTAAAGTATGTAACTTATATATTTAATGTCATCATGATCAAAAATTTCGAAACCAAACCTCGTGACCATGAAAATGACGTATCACATTCTTGTTGATAACGCCACGTGGTATCGGAATTTATAGTTAATTAATCGACGTCACGAGTCTGCACTTGTCATAAGGTACGATATATCTTTGACTACAAGGTCATCGTAAAGTAAATATTGATTTTTGTGTAAAAAACGACTTGACAGTAATGTAACTGTGAACTTTTATGTAAAATACGTCATTTCTAATATTAGCCAGCAAACTAAAAGATCACATACGACGTTTTACAGAGTAAACATCCGTTACTATAAATAGAAATGGCTAAAAATAGTGGCGCAGCTGGTTTTGCGTAATAATTGTAAAAGATCATTGGTTGTAATGTTGTTCATGATTGTTTGTTTACTCATTATCAGTCAAGAGTGTAAACAAGATTATATACTGTAATTGTTACTGTATTTTAAAATCATGATTAATCACAATTGTAAACAAAACGGTCATGAAATAAAATAATAAAATTTTTATTGCTTTTTATTTTGTAAAGAAAGTTTTTTTCATTTTTTGTTTTGTAAAGAAAGTTTTTATCATTTTTTGTCTTGTAAAGAAAGTTCTTGCAATTATTTGTCCTGTAAAGAAAGTTCTTGCGATTATTTGTTCTGTAAAGAACATTTTTGCATTTTTTCTTTTATTTTTAAATTTTGATGTAAAATACGTAATTGAACGTTCCATGTTTTTTATAATTATATTATTTTATGTTGTTGTTTACTTATATTTTTACTGTATAAAAAATTGGTCAAGAAATTTTAAAGTTTCTAGTATTAGAAGAGCTTTGTTATATGGTAGTTTATCTGTGTAGTAGCGAATGAGGGATTAAAAAGTGTTGGTTATGAAGAGATTTCTTTATAGAAGAGTTTGTTATCTATAAGTTCTTTATATAAAAGTCCGGTAAACAAG